GAGACAAACATCAGGAGACAAACATCAGGAGACAAACATCAGGAGACAAACATCAGGAGACAAACATCAGGAGACAAACATCAGGAGACAAACATCAGGAGACAAACATCAGGAGACAGCACAGGTGTGAGGGCTGCAGACACAACATGTCCAAACAGCAACACACGCCTGAATTTAGTAACAGAGATCAAATGTTTTACATTTTGAAATATCTCAAATTTATGAAATTTCTAAAAAAATATTCCTCAACAAATCTGTAAATGTGGAGTGAATGTTTATACAGTTGTGCTTTTACTATCTGCAGATTGTAAAAAATAAAAACTGGCACAGTAAATAAACAGAAAGGAACGCTTTAAAAAGTTTACATGAATCTAATACCACGATTTAAGTCTTCAACAGATTCATGTTGTTCTTTAAGTATAAAAATAATCTTTGCCTGTTTTAGAGCTGGTAACAGAAAATTAGCACATTTACTGAATAAAACGATTTAAAACCTGACTGGAATTTTTCAGTGTTGGCAATTAAAAATATATGATTAAAAACAATTTTCTCTAAAACTTTTAAAAGTCTGTTTAGAAACAGGATTATATTTTAAGATCACTGTTGGGTCCAGGTTTGTCTTCTCTATGAGAGGCTGAAGAGAATGGATGGATGGACGGATGGATGGACAGACGGACGAATGGATGGATGGATGGACGGATGGACGGATGGATGGATGGATGGATGGATGGACGGACGGCATTTGTTTTGCACAACATCCTGAACACAAACAACTGGTTGAGAAGAAAATTCAGAATTTTTTTTTTTTACCATTTTGGCCAAATACCACATCTTGTCTTTGCTGTACTTGATCTGCCTCCTGCAGTGGTGCACCTCCTGCAGAGGAACAGACTCTGAGTCAACCTGCAGCTCATAACAAACGTTAGCTGAGTCAGCATGGTGTTGGAGACACCAGCGGATCTTCTCCGTGTCAGGAGGTGAACTCACTGCTGGTCTGCGGGGCTCGTCAGGCAGCTGAGGAGGAAAAACCACACGGTTTTTTCTCTCCCATTTCTTTGAGTCCAGCGAAGCGCTCGTGTGGAGCTGAGAGAGCTGCTGCGAAGCTCCACCTGGGATCTGAAACCTGGACAGGAATAGAGATCCAGATACATGAGAGGCACCGTAACGAGACTGAAAAACCAAAGCAAACATTTTCCAAGCGTCTTGAGTTGTGCTGATTTTTTGCAGAGCAACCAGAGTCAGTGTTAAGAAATGTCATTAGCTGTTGGTTTGGTAATGTGAGCATCAAGTCAAAGGCTCAGCTGTTAAATCTGCAGAAGACAACAGGTCCAACCATGAGGACAGCGGCACCTCAAACTCTCCCAGACCCGTTTGAGCAGACGGCCCTCACTGTGTTTTCTGACACCTCTCATGTTCTGCACTCAGAACATGTTTCACTGAACTCAGGAAAAAGGTACAGGGTTCCTTCATGTAAATACAACCGCTACAAGAACTCACTTATCCCTCACTCAGAGAAGCTCATCGATGAGAGGAAGACTCGAGACTATGGAGAGAAATCCGTCTCACAAGTAGTCACACAAGCGCACAACGAGATCTGTATGTGCACTGCACAGTAAGAACCACAAGTTTTACAAAAGTGTACTAGAAGATTCACAAAGGTAATGCTGCATTCAAGGCTGGTGAAAAGCTGGGACATCTGAGTCTTACCAGATCTACTGGGTTAATGTGAAAAGAAACATTTCTAACTTGGCACAGTAGCTCAACGTAGCTTATAGTTCTTTTTATTGACCTTACCTTCAGCTTATCAGCCTGTTTTATTACATGAGATAATATACTAAATGTTGAAATTGGGAAGTACACTGCAAGTACTCTCATAGGTACGCTCTCAATGCACCCATAGGTACCCTGCAGGTACTCTGTAAGTGCCCGAGTATGTACCTTGTAAGTAAGTACCTCTGTAAGGATCTTGTAAGTACCCTTCTAAATACCCCTGTAAGTACTACCGTAAGGATCCTGTAAGAACTCAGTATGTACTCTGCAAGTACTACTGTAAGGGCCCAGTAAGTACTCTGCAAGTACTACTGTAAG